TATATATATTATATTATTATTAAAAACGCAGATTGTGTGTGTATGTGTGTGTGTACGTTTATATATATTGGATCGGATTTCCTACATTTTTCAACCGATTTCAACAAAACTTCACCGGACAACGTAAAATTATCTTGCGGTGATTCTGACAGCGCCAAAAATTGGAAAAACACAATTGTTTTTGCACAAAATCAATTTGAAAACACGATTAAGAGGCATCATGAGAATGAAAGGGGGACAACTCATATCGAGTTATACTTATTATAAAACCCAGGTTGTTTGTGTGTGTGTGTGTTCGTTTATATATGGGATCGGATTTCCTACATTTTTAAACCGATTTCAACAAAACTTCACTTTTTTTTTGGCAGGTAGTGTTTCTTATTGTCTTGCACACTTTTTTCTCTATTTTTACATCCAGAATGCTTTAAAACTTCCATTTACAAGACAATTGTTTATAATACGATTGAAAACAATGTTTTTGTTTGAGTTTGGGTTTGACCAATTCGTAAAAAAAAAACTAATTACGACATGCGTGTCCATCAACCTTAAACAATAATCTTTGTCAATTTTATTTTTCAGTCTTTATGATGGTCGATACTTGATCTATCTCTTACTGTTACAATACTGGGCAACGCCGGGCTCTACTGCTAGTATATATATATATATATATATAGTTTATAAGTATATAGGGTAAATGAATATATTTGACATTATATAAAAATTTTTCACACACACGCACACATACGCACGGTGGCCTGACGATTTCATCTAGCATGAAACAGACTGTCGCCTCTAAATGTTGACGTCTATGTTCACTTTTATATATATATATTTATATATATATATGTGTGTGTGTGTGTGTGTGTGCGCGCGCACGCGTGTGCGTATGTGTGCGTGTGTGTGAAAAATGATATATAATTTCAAATATATTCATTTACTATATATACTTGCCTATGCTGCGAGTTTAGAAGACCGAATTTTGAAGCTAATTTTTGTTGTTATTATTGTTTTTCTCTGGCACTCCTCATCATGTTTCCCATATTGTATTCATTTCTATGCTTGGTCGGCTCAGGAGATCTGATTCCTTAAGCCCGGAGCGTACAACGGCCGAAACGTTGTAATAAATATGGCGATAAAGATGAGGACAATAATCCGAATAATGTAAATAGTGTACATAATGACTCATCTCAGAAATAAAGACATATATTGTCATATTTTATTGGAATGTCGACAGGGAAATTATAGTTGCATTAAGGAAGGGGAAATATTATTTTATTCTTTCTTTGCTTTAATAGTTTCTTCCTTAATGTATGTCTTTCTTTATTGTATTTTACTAAATTAAGACCCTGTCAAAATATACTACAATTAGTCAAATTTTTTTTTTTGGGGGGGGGGGTAAATACAGACGGCAGTATTTAAAGAAAAGCTCCCAAGAGGATGCTTCCCTGATAACTACAATCTTTGTTTTTTGTAAGTTCAGGATCAACCGATATCTATTCTACTTGTTTTCATTCTTGCCTTACAACAATTTCATTCAGTAAACTTCTAGCTTGAGTGGCCTTTGCGCCTTGATTGACAGTTTTGTTTTCTACGGCTTATCAAACATTTGCAAGTTATTTAAAGCCAGAAAAATTTTTAGATTGAAAGAATTTTTTGGTGGGGTAGATAATGATGTCTTCTATGATGGAGAAGAGGTGGATTCATGCCTTTGAGGGCCGTAGAAGAGACACTATTTTTCTTTTATTGAAAGGTTCCCAAACAATTTACAGTTTAACTTTATGTTACCAAATGCCGGTACCATTGTTAGCGGCAAGAACATTTCAAATATCCAGTACCTCTAGATTTACAGAAATAATCTTTGAAATAGCAGTCACCGTCTTTTCATCTATTTTTAAATGTTTACGGCGAAAATATAGATTAATTAATGAAGGAATTTTTTTTTATTTACAATGTTTGGGATGTTTTTCACATCTTTATTGTCATATTCACGACGTTATACGTTCAGGCTTTCTTCAGGACCTGTCTATATTTCTGAGATGTGGTGTTGTAATTTTTACAATGTCAACATTATTTGGACTGCTGTGCTCAAATTTATTGCCATATTCACGACGTTTTGGCCATTGTACGATCCGGCCTTCTTCAGGATCTGTCTATACTTCTGAAATGAGGTATTTTCATTTTTTACACTATTTACATTGGTCAGAGTGTTGTCCTCGCCTCCTTTGCCATATTCCCGTCGTTGTGGCCGTTGTACGCTCCGGCCTTCTTCAGGAGTTGTCTATATTCCTGAAATGAGATATTTTCACTTTTTACATTGTTTACATTGTTAAGTCTGTTATCATCATCTGTATTGCTATATTCACGACGTTTCGGCCGTTGTATGATCCGACCTTCTTCAGGATCTGTCTATATTTCTGAGAGGATGTATTTTCACTTTTACACTATTTACATTGGTCAGAGTATTGTCCACATCTTCGTTGGCACATTCACGATGTTTCGGCTATTTTGCGCCCCGGCCTTCTTCAGGATATGTCTATATTTCTGAAATGTGATATTTTCACTTTTTACATTATTTACATTGGTCAGAGTGTTGTTCTCGTCTTCGTTGCCATATTCACGACGTTTCGACCGTTGTACATTCCGGCTTTCTTCAGTACCTCTCTATATTTCTGAGATTTGGTATTGTAATTTTTTACACTGTCAACATTATTTGGACCGTTGTGCTCAACTTTATTGTCATATTCACGACGTTTTGGCCATTATACGTTCCGGCCTTCTTCAGGATCTGTCTATATTTCTGAGATGTGGTATTTTCACTTATTACACTATTTATATTGGTCAGAGTATTGTCCTCGTCTTCGTTGCCATATTCACGACGTTTCTGCCGTTGTACGCTCCGAACTTCTTCAGGATCTGTCTATATTTATGAAATGGGGCATTTTCACTTTTTACAATATTTACATCGTTCGGAGTGTTGGCCTCGTCTCCGTTGCCATATTCACAACGTTTCGGCCGTTGAACGCTCCGGCCTTCTTCAGGATCTGTCTATGTTTCTGAAATGAAGTATTTTCACTTTTTACATTATTTACATTGTTCAGTCTGTTATCGTCATCTTTATTGCCATATTCACGACGTTTCGGCCGGAGCATACGCAAATAAAGATCGGGTTTTGAAAATTTCCGAAATAGGAGACATCGATGTGATTTCCTTTCGGAAAAAAATGTTGGCAGCTTCTATTACTGCGATTGAATCAATCTCTTCTTTGTGCACATGCATCAACCCGTCAGTTACCATTTCAACCATATTTGATCGTAAATAATTTCAAGCAAGCCCCCTCCCCCAATCACCGGCACTGTATAATTAACCCTAGACACACCGATGAAACGTCAGATGCAGTAAACATAGTCCCAGTACGAAGGTAATGGTTTACGTGACACATGACATGAACTTTTCTCCAGCGGACCAGTGCATCACTTCGACGCCATAAGAAGCACACAGAGAAATGTTTCGGATATTTTTTATTTATCATTTCACTCTAAGACAGACAGGAGTGCCACTAATACGCAGAGTAGGGGTCACAGAGAGGGAAGAAGAGAGAAAAGATTGGTTATAGCGGGGATCGAGGAAAGGATGAAAGATGAAAGGGAGTGTCACTATTACGCAGGGGGTCATGGACAGTGAAGAAGAGGGAAAAGATTGGTTATAGTGGGAAACGAGGAAAGGATAAATGATCAAAGGGAGTGTCACTATTACGCAGGGGGTCATGGACAGTGAAGAAGAGAGAAAAGATTGGTTATAGCGGGGATCGAGGAAAGGATGAAAGATGAAAGGGAGTGTCACTATTACGCAGGGGGTCAAAGAGTGAAGAAGAGAGAAAAGATTGGTTATAGCGGGGATCGAGGAAAGGATAAATGATCAAAGGGAGTGTCACTATTACGCAGGGGGCCAAAGAGTGAAGAAGAGAGAAAAGATTGGTTATAGTGGGGAACGGGGAAAGGATGAAAGATGAAAGGGAGTGCCACTATTACGCAGGGGGTCACAGAGAGTGAAGAAAAAAGACTGAGTAGGGTGCTCGAGGAATGGATAAAAACTGAACTTGGTTCAAGAAGATGGTGATTGACGTTGCTTTTAAAAAAATTCTTGAACATTCTACTTTTTCAGGGAAGCAAGCAAACAGAATTGAGTTCCAATGGTGGAAAGTGCAAGAAAAGAACCTGTTGGATCAGAAGTGACGGTTACATTTAACCATTTTAAAATAAAAGGGTGTGGCCTAGATGTCAATCTAGCAGCCGGCTTAAATTCCTGTATTCCGGGCACCAGGGAAAAAAAAGCTCGTCAAAACAATTGCCATGAAAATATTTGTAGAAAAGCCACGTCACGTCGGTGAGAAAGTGAGTGAAGTCGGGATATCACGTCAGGACCGATTGTATTAGAAAAAACTTCTTTGGATTTTATCAAGAACTTCGCGATGAATTTCAGGGACACGAGACAAGGCAGCTCTCTTTCGTGTTATAAAAAGACTGAAAAAAGAAACTTTGAAAAGAAATACAATCAAAGACACGACTTGCCAGGTTATTCTACGATAAAATGTCTTCTTCTTTTTCCCATTTTTTTTTTTTTTTACAAACTGTCCCAAAATTATTCACACCAAAAATGTACTACAATTCCTGCAACAGCTACGAGTGTCATGAAGCGGCTACTATTACCACTGATATTATTACACACACGCAAAAAATCAACGCTTCCCGCTTCCTTGTTCGGTTGATGCTCAAACCATTTTATCTTCCTCGCAGTGTCAATCACGGTTAAAATGAAAGACCGACTGAATGCGTTTGGAGACGGGGAAATTGACAAGTTGCACATGCTAGAAACGTGAAACCTTTTATATAGGCGGAACTAAGTGTGGCCATCAATTTCGAGCAAAATATTTGAAAATTTTGCGATTTTGAAGCAAGCTTCTTTTCATTGTCATTTTGACGATGACAAAGACACCGATTTTTTTATAGATAGATAGATAGATATGAACAGACTATACTAGCAAGTAATAGATAGAAAGATAGATAGATAGATAGATATGAACATACTATACTAGAAAGTAATAGATAGATAGATAGATAGATAGATAGATAGATAGATAGATATGAACATACTATACTAGCAAGTAATAGATATATAGATATGAACAGACTATACTAGCAAGTAATAGATAGATAGATAGATAGACAGATAGATAGATAGATATGAACATACTATACTAGCAAGTAATAGATAGATAGATAGATAGATAGATAGATAGATAGATAGATATGAACATACTATACTAGCAAGTAATAGATAGATAGATAGATAGATAGATAGATAGATAGATAGATATGAACATACTATACTAGCAAGTAATAGATAGATAGATAGATAGATATGAACAGACTATACTAGCAAGTAATAGATAGATAGATAGATAGATAGATAGATAGATAGATAGATAGATATGAACAGACTATACTAGCAAGTAATAGATAGATAGATAGATAGATAGATATAAACAGACTATACTAGCAAGTAATAGATAGATAGATAGATAGATAGATAGATAGATAGATAGATAGATATGAACAGAGTTTACTCGCAAGTTGCACATATCTAGATAGATATAAACGGACATAGATAGATAGATAGATAGATAGATAGATTTCTGAGATGAGATAGTGTTATTTGCATTATTTACTTTCGGCCGTTGTACGTTGCGGCCTTCTTTAGGTGATTGGATTTTTTTTCTTTAATGGGCTACCAGGATTCCCTTCAGTGAATCTATCGGAACCTTTTCCAATCAATAAATTTGAAACATTGTATTTGATCTTGCTTTCTTTTTATGATCTTTGCCGCCTCAGTCGTTGCATTATGGTGTAACTCTACTGTTTCGCCCATTTGAAATTCCTTTTTGAATTTTTTGGCTTCATGTAGCACTGATTAAATTTTATTATTATTATTATTATTATTATTATTATTATTATTATTATTATTATTTCATTTGATTTCTGCTGTGTACCAATTTCTTTCCGGCTCCCGACCAGAGACTTAAGGTCATAATGGCGTCATGACATTTTCCAATGAGCAATTTAAAAAAAAAAAATTACATATATAAAGCCCTTCGTACGGTGTGAGCTGTGCTCGTGAGAACAATTTATTGTATTTCTTTAAGGCATGGGCTACCAAGAATCCCTTCAATGTCTATTGGAATCCTTTCCAAACAATCCGAGGGCTCCAACTAAAACAGGGATTGTTGATGTTCACATGTACCACATTTTTGAGCCATGTTTACCTACAGATATGTACCAAATCTAACGAATTTTACCTATAAATAGAAGCCCTACCACTATTTCTATATAGACCCAAGTATAAACCCGATCAAATTTACCTATACACTCAAACCAATACTTACCTATAGACTCAGGTATAAAACAAACCAGCATTTGCTGATAGTCTCAAGTATAAACCCGAGCCATGTTTAACTACAAATGTGTATAAATCTAACGAATGTTTATCTATAAATCCATGTAGAGTCCCTACCAATATTTTTCTATAGGCTCAAGTATAAAGCATATGTATCTTCTCAAGTATAAACGCAATCAAATATTTATATACAGAAGCAAATATAAGGACGATCGATGTATGTTATTACACTCAAGTTTAATGTCGTATAGAGTTTATGTTTTTTGATGAAATCAACCAATAATTACATATTTTACTTGTAGATAAATCGGACCAGTATTCATTGTATAGCAGTCCGCAACTGATAACTGACATCCATTGAAAATAGCAGGTGGAACTAGAACAGTCTACCCCAGTGAGCGAAATAAAGGGTTCAGTTCGACATTTCAACCACCTGAAGAAGGCCGGAGCGTACAACGGCCGAAACGTTGTAATAAATATGGCGACAAAGATGAGGACAATAGTCCGAATTATGTAAATAGTGTACATAATACCTCATCTCAGAAATATAGACAGATACTGAAAGGCCGAAACGTTGTAATAAATATGCAACAAAGATGAGGACAGGAGTCTGAATAATGTAAATAGTGTACATAATACCTCATCTCAGAAATATAGACAGATACTGAAAGGCCGAAACGTTGTAATAAATATAGCGACAAAGATGAGAACAATAGTCCGAATAATGTAAATAATGTACATAATACCTCATCTCAGAAATATAGAAAGACTCTAAATCATATACATTTACTATTTGTATTTATAACAAATAGAATAAGTTTTTTTTTTCTATCGAATGGTTATGGAGTCTACCAAAAAAAAAGAAAAAAAGAATAAAAGTGGTCAGTAGGTAAAAACAAAAAATGATTTTATAAACTCTAGTATATATCCGACTAAAACTTTACCTATATGCTCAAGAATTAACCTGACCAAATTTTATTTATAGACTCAAGTATAAACTCGACCAATATTTATCGGATTTAGACTTGATGCTTACCTAATAAGTCAAGTATAAAATAGTTCAATTTATACCTATATACTGTTGAAATAATCTGTTGTTAACTGGGGCAAGGCATGGCTTGTTGATTCCAACACCTCCTGAACGAAACTGCTCTGTGTTAACTGTGTAAGAGAATCATTTTGGCATTCCATCAGTATGGCTGATGCTAACCACCAGGAGAGTGAGTCTTTGTGACTAACGTTTTCCACTGACATGTAGTGAAGATGAATCTATTACTAGGCGTGCTTACTAAGAAATTTGGTTCACTGCGTCGAGCAAGAGAATTATTTTCTCCAGAATATATCTTACATATTTATACATCTACTATTCATCAATGCTTTGAATATTGCTGTCACATCTGGTCTGGTGCTTCTGATATATATTTGGATATTCTTGAGAAAATCCAAAGAAGAATCTGCAATATTATTGATACTAATGTGGCATCTCGGTTACAGTTAGTTTGCATCGCCGTAATTTTCCCGTGTCTATTCTATAAAGACAGACTGAGGCAGAGAGAGGAACGTTTTTGAAAAATTCCCATTAATTTTAGCTTCAATGTGTTCGTATTGATTTAGAACTTGACAAGATTAAGTGTGGAAAACAATACCTCTCGTGTGGTTTTCATCGATGCATTTCGGAAGGCGTTCTTGGAGGTTGGTCTCCACTCTTTCCAGAATTGCTGTGTCGATTTGAGCGACTTCCACGCGAATAGCTTCCTTCAAATCATCCAATGTATAGGGCTTATTCTCATAGACAGGTGCCTCGAGATTTCCCTACAAGAAATGAACAAATCAGGACCCCGAGTTGATCAAGGAAACCAGAAAATAAGAAGGTCACAGAAGAGAAGACGAAGAACATTCATTGATGTTCTCGATGTGTGGGCCGTCGCCCCATCTTGTTGAAACCATATTCGTCGAATAGGAAGACGTTTTCGTCTAATTCAGGCACAAAGTTGTTTATCATCACATATCAACGCCTGGAGTTCAAAATAACTGTATTTCCATTATGGTCTTCAAAAAAGTAAGGACCAATGGCCTCAGCTTTTCCAACAATACACCAAAGCGTCACTTCTGGGCTGTCCAGTAGCCTTCATGCAGTTCTCTTGGATTTTCAAGAGCCCAATAACGACAATTCTGTTGATTCACCATGTCATTGAGATGAAAATGAGTTTCATCACTCATTAAGATAATGAGATTATCATTTACATTATTTACATTATTCGGACTACTATTCTCATCTTTGTCGCCATATTTATTACGTTTCAGCCGTTGTATGCTCCGGCCTTCTTCACGTGTTTGGAATGTAGAACTTAACCCTTTATTTCGCTCACTGGGGTAGACTGTTCTAGTTCCACGTGCCATGTTTAATGGATATCAGTTATCAGTTATCTCTTGTTAATCTCCCTCTCCAAGTTCTCCACTGCCTTAACCAGGTATTGAACTCACACTCTTTGGGTCCTGTCACTGGATCTTACTAACGCCTTTATCCACTGTGTCACATGTCCATACACAGATGTCTTCAAGGACACATGGCACAGTGGATAAAGGCGTGGGTTAGATCCAGCGACAGGACCCAAAGTGTGTGAGTTCAATATCTGGTTAAGGCCATGGAGAACTTAGAGATGTGAATTAACAGGACTTAACTGATAACTGACATCCATTAGACATGGCACGTGGAACTAGAACAGTCTACCCCAGTGAGCGAAATAAATGGTTAGGCTCGTCATTCCAAACACCTGAAGAAGGCCGGAGCGTACAACGGCCGAAACGTTGTAATATATATGGCGACAAAGATGGAGACAAGAGTCCAAATAATATACATAATACCTCAGCTCAGAAATATAGACAGGTTATCATTTCTCTCAAAAATTGCTAACATCTGACGTGCAACGTACCCTGATCTCAACTGTTGCCCAACGACCAAATTGTAGGAGTGGAAATACCGAACGATTTTTACCGAACGATTTTCGATGGTATGTTCGGTAGCATACCTCCAAGCAGAGTGATTCGCATTGTGCAGCAAAGATTGTCGGAAGCGGTCCACATTCTCTGGGATACGTACCGCTCTTTAACGTGTCTGCTATTCCTTAGTGCGTGAACCGAGTGTATGATTGTGTTAGGAGTAGGAACAGCTTGTTTTCGGTGAATGTTGAATCGGCGATGAAACTCACAATGAACCTCTGAGATAGAACTCGTTATTCTTCACGAAACTGTTGGAGGCGGACACGCCATGCTCTATCGTCCACAGCGCCATGACTTCAACCGAAAAAAAAAACGCTAAGACACCACGAGCCGAATGGTACCCGACAAACATATATCCTTAACACCGTAGCAGAGTAACAGACCTTTCAAAAACATCCTCTCAGCCTCACCCTGATTTCTATGGTAATTGTTCTGACGTAATTTCTTCAAGGGTACCAAGGGACTATGAATTTAACGGCAGTTCTAGATTGAACAGTTGAATTGGCGAGATGGAACCGTAACTTCTATGCTAACAGTATGAAACTTTTAAAACTATTTATTCTACATTCAACATCATCACTTGATAAGACACCGGAGATGTTGAAACAAAATGGCTATTTTTGTAGTCATTTTATAACATATTTATGTTATAATTTTTAAATAAATAATTATATTTGCTCTACTCTGTATTGAGCACTCTTTTAAGAATAATAATTTTCGGTTATTGGAATTTATTCCGTATACACCAATCCTATACTTGGGTATATATATATATATATATATATATATATATATATATATATATATATATATATATATATATAAAAAATAATCATGCATAGAATCAAGCAGCAATATTAATGCGATTAATGGCGAAATCACTTCGCTAGTAGAACATAATGTATCCATTAAAATACTGTTAATCCATTGAATGATGTGATCCTCATTTATAAAACTGTTGTCAGATGTTTCTAGTTTATATTTTTTTAAGTTAACCAAGTACTTTCGAAGATCCATGTCTTCATCATCAGGCTGTAATTTTTTTCCTTTAAAGTTAAAACTTGAAGACGAAATAATTGTTTGTAGACCGAAAGATGTTTTTTAAAGATTGTGCTATTTATTGACGGTTGTACAATCTCGGAACGTGCGAGTTGCAATGCTAAAGTTCAAAATTTCAAGTGAGAATTTTTATATGAATTTTGTAATATGGTAAATCCACGAATTGTTTTTTTAACAAGTGTTTTTCAGTTAACATGACATGAACTAAGTATATAGTTCAATTAATATAGTGATATGTCTTAGTAGTTTTTTTTTCTCAGGAATTTTGCATATATAAATATATATATATATATATATATATATATATATATATATATATATATATATATAATGTTATGACGTTATTTTTTATAGATACAAGTATCACCCTATAATTTCATGGCAATTGTTCTGATGCACTTTCTTCCAAGGTACCTACGCTTTTTGAATTTAAACTCGTTACTAGATTGGCGACATGGACTCATCATTTTACATTTTAATTGTCGAGATGTAAATGTAAGTTCTATGTTAACAGTTTCTTCTCTCACACCTCTCGCCTGTGGAATTATCCTCCGGCTTCTTACTTCCTCGTCAACTCTGATCTTTAAAAGAATTAAATGCAATGTCAACCGTTATCTTCTGTCTTCTTAATGCTCGTTCTTTCATTGTCCTCTCTCGTTAATAGTAATTTTTCTCATATTCTCTAACATTCAGTAACCCCTTGCATCTTAGTGGCTTTATTGCCTTTGATCTTCAAAAATTGAAATATAATGTGAATCGTTATTTTCTGTCTTCGTAATTTTTGTTCTTTTATTGTCCTCTCTCCTTAATATTTTTAGTTTCTAAGAATTTTTTTTTTCTTTTGGCCCTAATAAATTCTTTGCTAAAAGTTTCTTCTTTCGTACTTCTCACCTATGGAACTATCTTCCTGCTTCTTGCTTCTCAGTCAACTTTGATCTTCGAAAATCGAAATGCAATATAAATATTTATCTTCTGTTTTCTGAATTATTTTTCTTTTATTGTCCTCGCTCCTTAATATTAATTTTTCTCATATTCTCTAACATTCAGTAACATCTTGCATCTTAGTGGCTTTATTGCTTTTGATATTCAAAAATCGAAATGCAATGTCAATCGTTATCTTCTGTCTTCTTAATTCTTCTTCTTTTATTGTCCTCTCTCCTTAATAGTAATTTTTCTCATATTCTCTGATTTTCAGTAACCGCCTTGCATCTTAGTGGCTTTCTTGCCTTTGATCTTCAAAAATTAAAACGCAATATCAATCATTATCTTCTGTCGTCTTAATATCTGTTCTTTTATTGTCATCTCTCATTAATAGTAATTTTTCTCATATTCTCTGACATATAGTAACCGCCTTGCATCTTAGTGTCTTTATTGCGTTTGATCTTCAAAAATTGAAATGCAATGTCAATCGTTATCTTCTGTCTTCTTAATTCTTGTTCTTTTATTGTCCTCTCTCCTTAATAGTAATTTTTCTCATATTCTCTGACATTCCCATTGCATCTTAGTGGCTTTATTGCCTTGCTTGAGGGGAAATTATTAGAATTAAAACTTTCAAAAGTATACATGACATATTAAGGGATGATATTTTATGAAATCCATTTTCATTTACTGTCGTATTCCGATTTTTTTTTTTTGCTTCAATTTCCTTCCTTTAATATTTTTTCATTACTTCTGTTCCTATTTTTTTATTCTTATTTTTTTCATTTCTTTCTTTATGCTTCAGTTTTCCATTCATTTTATTTTTATTCAATTTTCCCTTTTATTTTCCTTCCATTCTCTTCAAGAATATATTTCTCCTTTTTGTTTTTCTCCCTCTTACCGATTCCTTAATAATCTTACTTTTCTTCTTTCTCTACGTTCTCTTTCCTCTTCATTCTCTTCTTTTTCTTTGTTCTTCATTTTAACTTTCCTCCTTTTTCTTCGTCTTTTCTTCGTCTTCTTCTCTCATTCTTTTTTTTTCTTTTTCACTTCTCCTTATCTACTTTTTCTTCTTCTTCTAACTAATTCATTCTCCTTTCTTTTTCATTTTATATCCACAACTGATATACTCTTTCGACTTTTTCTTCTTCTTCTTTTTTACGTATTTCTCTTCTTTTATCTGTTGTAACCTAAAAAGGCTTACTGAATGAGGAATAGCCAAGACGGAGGTTGGAAATGAAATGGTAATCTTTATAACATCAACAAAATACAATACTCGCCAGCGGCGTGAAATAGGTAAACCACTGCTAGTGGTGGACTACGTAGACAGCATATTAATGCCCACACGCTTACAATAGTGACTAACATATTTATGAGGATTGGGACTGACCCATTAATGTTCCTATGTACGGTATATAACATACACACACACAAACACATATATATATATAGACAGATAGATAGATAGATAGATAGATATTGTTGTAACCTAGTAAAGCTTACTGAATGAGGAATAACCAAAACGGAGTTTTGAATGAAACGCTAATCTTTATAACATCAACAAAATACAACACTCACCAGCGGCGTGAAGTAGATAAACCACTGCTGGGGCGGAGGACTACTTAGAGAGCATATTAGGCTCCAATTACAAGGTATATATATATATATATATATATATATATATATATATATATATATATATATATATATATATATATATATTCAATTCTCACACCAGCTCTATATGTGGCCTCCTTTGTAAATCACTAGCGGGTCTTAAATGCCACTTAAGATTATTGCATAAACTTTCATAACTGAATCAATAAGCTCGTAGATCCTCATACGTCGAAACCGACGGCAGAGTCCATTATATATATATATATATATAGAGAGAGAGAGAGAGAGAGAGAGAGGAGAGAGAGATAGACAGATAGATAGATACATAGATAGCATTGTACTCTAGAAAAGGTTACTGAATGAGGAATAACTAAAAAGGAGATTCGAAATGAAATGGTAATCTTTATAACATCAACAAAATACAATACTCGCCAGCGGCGTGAAGCAGGTAAACCACTGATAGTGGAGGACTACTTATACAACATAATAAGTCTTACACTAGTGTACAACTTATTTATGAAGATTGATAAAAACCCATTAGTGTTCATAGGTACGGTATATCACATTATTCTTTTTCCTTGTCTATTTTTTTGGTCCTTCTTGTAAATTTCTTTGTTATTTTTGCCTCACTGTCTTCTTCAATCTTCATTCCGATTGTTTGTTTTCTTTCGTTTTATTCTTCATCGTCCACGTTTGTTTCTTTTCTTCTTTGACAGTTTTTCATTCATTTTTCTATTTTCTTGTTTTACATTTTTTCCCTCTCATCTTCTTTCTTACACTTCGTCTCTCTCTTTCTCTCTCTCTCTCTCTCTTTCTCTCTTTTCTTCTTTCTCTTTCCGTTCATCAATAAACTCAACTTCTTTCTTTCGCTTTTTCTTCTTTTATCTTTATTATTTTTTTCATTCTTAATCAATCTTCTTCTTTTTCTTCTTCATTTTATTTCTCTTCTCTTTCCTCTTTTTTTTCATATTCTTGTTCCCCTGCGTTTCTTTCTTTTCTCTACTTTCTTTCTTATTCTCTTTTCTTCTCGACCTCTTTCATCTACTTTAGCGCTTCTTTCTTCATTTTCCTCTTTCACTTTTTTATTCTTATTCACCGTCTTTTTTTTTCTTCTTGTCAATTTCTTTGCTATCTTAGCTTCTCTTCTCCATCCTCTCCCCGATTCTTCTTCTTCTTCTTCTTCATCTTCTTCTTCTTCTTCTTCTCGTCCGCCTCCTCATTCTTCTTCTTCTTCTTCTTCTTCTTCTTCTTCTTCTTCTTCTTCTTCTTCTCATCGTCCGCCTCCTCATTCTTCTTCTTCTTCTTCTTCTTCTTCTTCTTCTCCTCGTCCGCCTCCTCATTCTTCTTCTTCTTCTTCTTCTTCTTCTTCTTATTCTTTTTCTTCTTCTTCTTCTCGTCCGCCTCCTCATTCTTCTTCTTCTTCTTCTCCTCGTCCGCCTCCTCATTCTTCTTCTTCTTCTTCTTCTTCTTCTTCTTCTTCTTCTTCTTCTTCTTCTTCTTCTTCTTTCTATTACTCCACCTCCTTCTCCTTTTCTAATTCTCATCCTTCTTCTTCTTCTTCCGCCTCTCCCACCTCCTCCTCTTCTTCTTCCCCACTTCTTCTTCTTCTTCTTCTTCTTCTTCTTCTTCTTCTTCTTCTTCCATTTTCTTTCACCTTTTTTATTTTCCATCTCTTTCTCTCTCTCTCTCTCTATATATATATATATATATATCGTCGTCTCTTAATATATATCTATCTATCTATCTATCTATCTATGT